TATACTGTTTTCCAACTTTGTCCTGAGAAATTTGTCGACTTTAAAATCTTAAACGCGATTTTTGCAATTCAGGTATTAGGTTATGTATCATACTCACTATGAACTGCAATAACGCGGGAATTTTTTATGATCCTTCTATTCTTTATTTTTTGTACGATAACGTAACGACCATTAGCGTATATTAAAACAAACATATTTATTAACAAATTAATACGAACAGTATCCAATTTGTTAGATCGTGTTCTTACAGAAACTTCTTTTTCCACCTCGGACAACAAGATGACCACGACTAGTCGATTGTCGTCTTACAGAAACGTGAAGAACAAAACTATTGACGATAGACACAAACATTGACATGTAGGCAGGTATTCATAGACCGATATCCATAGACCGTTCTCATCTTTGACTTATGGCCGATTTTTTCACTTCCCGATAAAATTATCCGGAGGTTAATCTCAAGTTTTAGCCAATCACGTGCATGGATCTGGTAGTTTATCTCCTGGTTAACTTTAACCGCAACATAACTGGATGTGAAGAAATCGGGCATTAGACTGCCAGCAGCCAACTTCAGGTTGGTAGCCAAGACCATAGACATATAAAAGATAGACTGCTTATGAGGCAGTGGAACTTTGCCCCCTTGTCGACAGCGTTGCCCCTAGGAGCGAGTCTGTACTAAATATATCCGATTTTATCGACAGAATTGCCTAAATTTAGTCTGGACTCGCACCAAAAGGCCAAATTTGTCGATAAAATCGGATATATTTAGTACAGACTGGCTCCTAGGGGCAACGCTGTCGGTAAGGGGCAAAGTGTGTAGTGGTCTCGTTTTCACCCGGGCCTTTGGCGATCTGTCTATTAATCTGTGGTGGAACCCTAGGTGGGGGCATCCTCCTGAGGGAAAAGGACAACATGAATTTATTTGGGTATCTGTCTTCCTCTAGTGGACGTGATCTGAAGGCGATCACGTGTTCACGCCCATGTGATCACGTACACTAGAAGAAGATAGATACCCAAATAAATTGATGTTGTCCTTTTCCCTCAGGAGGACATCCCCCACTACCTCATAAGCAGTCTATCTTTTATATGTCTATGGCCAAGACACAGTATAACCAGTATGCCCACTCGCTCTTTTGTTTCACGTTCGCGCCGATCCATACTGCGCATCGGACATGTTCTAATTATGACCAATCACAGGATTTTTGTACGTGTGTTAGTGCAAAGTCGGTGACATTGAAAAATTTGCAGTGTTGACGAATAACGCGTTAATACTTTTATACGTTAGAGCAAGTAACTACATTAATTACTTTTATTAGAACATTTTTTTCATAGGCCATTTCCATTTACAATAAATAATGTACGCTAGTTCGTATGCGCCTTTCCTGGATACGATCCTGAAAAGGGCCCAGGCACTTTTAGCCGTTGATACACTGTTGGGGCGATTAAAAACATGGCGGAAAATTGAGAACGCCCAGATCAAAGGCCGACAGAGAGTGGGCATACTGGTTATACTGTGGCCAAGATGTGTTGCGCCATCATCGACCAATTGAGAAATGTTTTAGCCATATGTAAATTTATCATAGAAATAACGTGCCACACAGGTTTTTCTTTTAAATCTCTTCTAGTATCCAAGGTAAATGAAACAAGTATATAACGCTAAGTATATATCGCTATGATCCATAAATATTTTGTTTACTGCTAAAAGTATAACAGAATAGTTATTTTTCGGTGAAAAATAAATTGAAAATTTGTAATATAATACGTAAGATAAATTTTTTTACCGTAGCTAACGTCAATTCAATCGCTGCTAGCTATTGAGAGTCGATCAGGGTGTAGTCATCTGTCTTATCGTACTGCATCCTAATTATGCATGTTTTAACTTCTCTAGTCAGGAAACTATTATAACAAAATTTGAATAAATTTTTCAATAAACAATACTCTAAGCATTTGAAGAAATGCTCAATACGAGTTCAGGAAAAAGAATTTCTATGCAATTTTAGAAAGAAAACTTAAATAATAAGATGCTATTATCCTATACTATTTTTTCTGTCTCAGGGGAGTGTGTTATGTTCACGGTGTGTCGTTTGCACCGCGATTCGTGCAGTCGCCGAAGTTGTCTTTATACCGTAGTTTCGGCACTAGTGTAATGAAAATTTGATTGAAACTTTCAATAATAATTCCCAAATAATATTCTGCCTAATAATGTCAAACACAGTTTAGTAAGAGAAGTATTGAATATATACAAACAAAAACATAGATTTTTAATGTTAGAACCACGTAATGGTAGATTTGGCGACAGTCGTCGAAGTTGTCTTTATACCGCATGTTCAGCAACAGGATAATAAAAACTTTATTGAATCTTCCAATAGTAATTATCATATTCTGGCCCACAATGTCAAAAATAATTTAGTAATAGAAGCATAGAATATACGCAAATATATAAAAATAATTAGATTTTTGTTAGAACCACGTAATGGTAGATTTGGCGACAGTCATCGAAGTTGTCTTTATACCGCAGTCTCAGCATCAAAATAATTTAAATTTTATTAAAGCTTTCAATAATAATTATTAAATAATATTCTGCCAAATAATGACAAAAATAATACTTTAGAATAAAAGATTTATATATACAGGGTGATTCAGAACAACCACTTGTCCTTAAAATGTCGTATTCTAAACTTAATTCTGAAATGATTTTTCCTCTTGCAAAATTTTCTCCGAAGCTTAGTTTTTGAAT